TTTGTAACTGGCACTGTATTAGCTATTTCAACCATACTAATAAGTTTATCTCCTTATACATGAATGATTTTAACTGATAATAAAAAGTTTTGAGGGTAAATGACAAGAAAGTGAAGAGCTCCAACCTTGTTTTGAGGGCTTTGTCACATAAAGAAGAATAACTGTATCTTGACATTGGACAGTGTGAGAGAGTGCCCATTGTATAGCTCCCTTAGCTTCAATCATGATTTTCCTTCCAATTACCAACCCGGGTTTTTCTCCATTGCTGGATTTATCTTCTCCAACTTTGCCACAAATTTCATCCTTCTGATCAGTTTTAGCAGAATTCACATTAGGCCTGGCTTGTATTGGAGGAGAACGAACTCTAACATGAGGCCTAATCCTGTTCAAGCAGAAGCCTGGCAACCTTGTGCCTATCCTGCCCATCGCCTGAGATGGTTACTGAGGGTAGACACCAAATAATTATAAGAAGGTAAAGAAGAAGAGGAGACACTGAGACAGGAACAATTAGCCCTTGTCTGTTGCTGAACCAAATTTCTAGATGTTGATTTGGGCCACGGGTTATTTCTGCTAGCTTTTCTTTTCTTTTCTTTTCTTTTTTTTTTTCTCTCTTTTGCATTCTTTTGTTTGCTAATCATGATAGCAGGTCTTTGTTTTCCTTTATATTTTCCCTTGTGGGGCTATTCCTGAACCTGCCTATCATGAAGCTGTAGGCCCATCTCTTCTAGACCAGCTGCTTGGCCCCCAGGCATTCTGCCATGTTAGTTGTAATCAGATTATCTAATTATTTGTTTGCATTGCCTTTCCATTTAATATCCAAAATCTCCTTTCTATGGCTAATTAAAAGAATGCTAGGCACTATGTCAAGCTCATAATATGAACTGGTCTTTGAACTCATTCTTTTTTAGTGGTGAGAGGGAGGGGGTACTAAAGATAGAATCAAATATTTAAAAGGCAATGAATGGCATTGAACCTTCCGCTGGCAAGTTGCAGCTTTGGGTTCCTAATCAGTGATCAGCAGATGCAAAGGCCCATGAGGCCATGATCTTTATATATGTCTAAAATGGCAAAAAAAAATCCTTGCTCTTCCTGGAAAGATATTATACCGTGTTTCTTGATAATTGGAGTGTCTCGGTCAAATCAACTTGTGAGGTATTACGGTTTTATCCCACAAGGATGTAAATACTTATATTATAAGACTAACTCTAATAAACAGTCAATGTGAGATTCATAGATCCTTTCTAGGACCATGACACGGAGTGACAGAGTAAGCCTATTTTAGCTCTGCACTTGAAAATTGATCCCAATTTTTGTTTTAGGCCGACTGATCATCACTGATGCTTCAGGCAGACAAATCTGCATCAACAATTCTCTAGCAAGCAAATATTCAGCAGCTGTTGAATTAATCCTCCAATAATAAACCGTCTGAAATAGCATGTTCTCATGAGGATGTGACAAAGAAATGGCAGCCCATGGCTTAGCATCATGTGCACCCAAAACAGATTGATCAGACAGTTTTCTGCTTATCATCACTATTTCAGGGTCTACATTAATAATGCAGATTCAGCTCTGATAATTATGCACTTATCATAAAAAGACAAGCAAGCTAATCATATAACAAAATGAGAAAAACATACAGAGAAAATTAGTTTCAAAACCAAATTCACATAATAATCATCAGCCTCATAGTAATATGTGGCTGATGTATTCGTTCTTCATTATATCGATTCACGTATTTACTATGCATAAGGAGATTCTACTGATACCATCTTCTGCAACGATGATTTCAAGATTAAACATTGATGTTTAGGGCAAGGATTTAAATTGCGGTAACGGTCACGTTTTCGATCGCATCGCGTTTGTCACGGTTACGGATATAATGGAGACCTTTGCGATCATTGCGACTATTACGGTCGTGAATTTTTTTAAATTTTACTCAACTTGCTATAAAATATAATAATTTTAATTATTAATCATAAATCCTCTTATTTTATGATTTTTAAAGTAATTTATATTATATCATATGTTTTATTTATTTAAAAAAATATTTCTAGTAAAATATTCATATTTAAAAATTTATTTATATGATAATTAAAAAATAAAAAGAGATAAATAAATATATGAAAAATAAATAATCATAACGAATAATATATTTAATTATTTAATTACCGTACTCATCAAATTATTACCGAACTATATTATGCATAAATTAAATAATAAGTGATTATGTATTCATAAATTAAGTAAGAGCATTATTATTTATGAGTTAAAAGAATTACTTTTTATGAACTTACAATAAATCAAACTTGACAGCCTCCATGTTATAGTCGATTTTCAACAATAATAACCTCAAGTTTACTTTTCTTGTCTCTTAACTAAATTGCTAAGACCCACACAACTTCTTATCCCTTCACCTTACATTCAATAATTTTTTTTCTCCAAACCTTCATCTTCATCCTCATCTCTCAGTTCTCTTTTTATTTGGTGTATGCTATCTGCTTGCTTCTGTAAACCTCAAGTTTTACTCTCATCTCTTATCTCTTATTTTAAGTCCCAGCAACTCTTGCCTCCTTCTATCAATGTAACATAGCTCAATCTAATCCCAAACACACAAAATCATGACAAATTTAGAAATTAAAAAAAAAGATAATTTGAGTGTTGAATTAATTGTTTATTTTAAATTGCATATACTTGATTTTGATTGAAGTTGAACTTGAGAGAATTGATTTTTTTGAAAGTTTAAGTTTTGTGGGTTTTTTTTTTTTTTTGAATTTGTAAATTGATGTTTATTTTTTTTCTTGTTGTTTTTATTTTAAATTTTTTAAAAAAATCAAATGAATTTTTTTTTTTAAATTTTTGAATGAAAATAGGAATAGCGGCAATAGCGGTAATAGCGGGCAATAGCGGATCGCTATTGCCGCTATTCACCGTTATACCACAATTCACGGTCGTGATTCATCCGTTACAGACGATATTCAAATTCTCTCTCGTTTTTTCTCCAATAACGGTGGTGGATAGTGGCGCGACCGCAAAATAACGGCCGCGACACCGCTATCCGACCGCTATTTGAATCCTTGGATTAGGGATTGATGTTTAGGGTATAATCATACTAGAACTGATCTGCAAAGATTTTTATTTTGTTTTTGTTTTTGGTGGTTTATCTGGCGTGACTCAAACGCTAGCAGCTCATCATTTGAGAATAACATAATTAAAACAAAGAAAAAAAAAACTGTTTCAGAAGTTCTTCGAAACAAAATGATTAGCAACAGCAAAAAAAAGGAGAAAAAAAGGGTCAACAAAGTTTTGATGATTTAGAATAATCTAACAAAGAACAGGTTTAAGACACAAACTGACTTTTTCAGAACACATAAATCTCGTTATGTTGTAAAAGTAAGATCAAATAAGTGAGAAGTCCTTTCCAAATTCCCAACTTTAATTGCCATTTACATGAAAGAATTTACTACTTTAATCCCCCATGTCTCACCAACGTCAGCCAATCTATTAGTTACATTAGTCCTCAAGCTACTATATGTGATTTCTTTTTCTTTTTTTTTTAACTTTGACCCTTTTTATCCACTTCACCATTACTGTATGAAATAATTATTTACTCATGAGCGAAAGCCAGCAAAATTTTAAAAAAAATAAAAATAAAAACCAAAATGGTGAATCAAGTTGGAAAGGAGTCGAGTTTTTATCAAGGGGGTCAGGTTTTATACTATAATATTATCTTAATTTTTTGAGAGATCATGATCTCATATAATTGATAAGCACACGTATGATGAGACTTAAATAAATTTAATAATTTTAGAAATATATCATTTTCTAAGTGTTGAAAATGGTATGCCTATAAAAAGAATGAATTGGTATGTAAAAAGTAATAGATATCATGAATCTATTAATAAGGTATTGCAATTGCAATTAGAGTTTGATTGTCATCCAACAAAACTTTTACCAGCATAGGTGAAAATTGTGATGAGCAATAACTAATATTTTGGGGTCTTCTTTGTGGTTAACTTTTTTACTTTGGATCCTCATTCTGGTCTCTGACCATTCAAAAGCAAAAGCTTATTAATTCAAGAATTTACCATTAAAGACATACATAAAAAAAATTCTTCATATATAGTTTTCACGAAAAAGCATATTATGTATAAAAATAATTTCTTGACTAACGATAATTAGATCGTGGGTTTGAACCTTTTATCACTTTATAATAATAATAATAATAATAATAATAATAATAATACATTATTATTATTATTATTATTATTTTGACTTGACATTCTCTTTCGTTTGTATTTATCCATTTTTTTTGGCCTTTTTTATTTATCCTTTGAAATTTGCTACTTGGCCCCATATTTTGAGCTATTAAAAAAACTGAAAAAGTAAAATCTATAGATTTTTTAACAAGTTGTTTTAGAATTTTATTTTTTTTTATTTTTTTTACAAAAGAGATGATAAACAAATTAAAGAATTTTAAATTTTAAATTTTAAATTTCGGATATATATGATAATAAAATTATTCGCACAGGTTTTTTTATCTAAGGAAAAGATTGAAATTGAAATTTTTTTTATAAAAAAAACATATATACTTATTATTAAGTCAAATGTTTGAATATGTTTTCACAATTATACATAAAACCTAAAACTTATTAAATTAATTCTTACACATAATTTTGAGATAGAAAATTTTAGTGTACAATTAAAATTAGATGCTATTTTAATTTATCAAAAATGTATTTCATATATCAATATCTAATAATTATTTTCATTGGAATTGTATAATTAAATTTTTTGTTTAAAATTTGTCAAGTAAAATTACATGTCCTTACAATAAATTCACAAAAATTTTATTTTTCTAAAAAAAGCCTTTTTATTAATGAAGAGATATCATATTATTCATTAACAAACACTTAATAATGAGAAATTGTAACTTCAAACTCAACAACTGATAATTAATAATGAGAAATCCAAGATCCAGAGATATACACTTACCATCCACTTAGAAAAACACACATGAAAGCATGAATTTCAAACAAGTTTGTCCCTTCTCATGCCTTTTTTTTTACCATAATGCATCCATTTATGTCCATATTCACACACCAAAACTTCATATAATTAGCGGCTAACAAGCATTGTTATATAGATATTGTACCAATTTTATGTAGCAAAGCATCCCAGATGGCACGAATAAATGGGTTCAAGAGTCAGATCAAGTTCATTCCTCCTCACTTCTGTTGCTTCTTCCTGGTATGTGCCACTGCATGCATTGGAAAGTAGAAATTAAACTAGCAAGTCATAATCTTAATTCATAAGCGTCAAGAATAAGAAACTTTAAATGAGTGATGTGAGATGTTACCCAATATTCAAACAGGGGTGCGGCTGTGGCAGCAGAAAGGATGATGATGCGTTGAGGCCATGGTCTTGCTGCTGCCCCCACTGCAACTGCTGCGCAGCTGTCTTCTCCCTCTCCTGGATCTACATGGAAAGATAGGCTTTTTATTAACATTTGCTCTCACAAATCATGATTTGATGTAAATATATGAAATCATGAACATGAAATTAAGGGTGAGTCACCTGCTTTGCTAGCATGGTGTTTTGCTCCTGTATTGCCTTCTCCTGTTATAGACCACAATTAGAGATATGGTTATATTTACAAGCGTTTACAAGTTCATAGAAAGCATGCATAAAGTTCTTTTAATTAATGAATATCTCCATGATTGACAAGCAAGTCATATGTTCTAAGAGGCCTTGCCTTTCTCTGAAGCTCAGAGATTGACTCATACATGAGTTGGTTCTGCAAGAGCCAAAATTTCATCAGTAAAACACCAAGAGACAGCTCTATTTGAAGGACTATAATTGGAAAAAGGGCAACCGTTAAAGCATACTTTTTTAGATTGAATGTGTTTAAGAGCAGTATCAAGCTGCTGCTCCAAATTCTGCAGCTCCTTGAGACTCAATGAGTCTAAATCTTCTCCCATATAGTGCCTGGAGAGGTTAAAGAATTGACCAACTAATTTATAAGTAAGCTAAAGAAATTCTAGATATCAGCTAGGAAGACCTATATTCTAGATGGAAGTTCATCTCTCTTAGATTATGTGCATATGTAGCAACCATGCAAATGATCAGTTTATGTAGTACCTGTGATTTTTCTGCAAGAGCTCAACCTTAGCCTTAAGCCTGTTATACTCAATGGACCAGTTTCCCTGTAGATGAGTTACCAGAACATTAAGAGGTCGGTTTCAATGCAATTTTTGTAGATTGTCAATTGGCCTTTTCCTACAATGTACTATTCCCAAAAAAAAAAATAATTTGAAAGCTTCATTTTTTATCGTACCAAAAGGCAAAAACTAAGGGTATATCAGTAGCTACGCCTACTTCATTGTACAATCCAAAGACAGCAGCCACCATTAACAGCTATAAAATGTACTAAAATTAGGTACCCCCAAACTTTTTTGTTGTCAAAATGTTATCTGCAAACAGTATAAATAATTATATTAAGAACTGGCAAACTTAAGGATTGAAAGTATTTTACCTGAGAGTCAGACTCAGTAGCAACAAGCTGTGTCTCAGCATAAGAATACCTTTCATAGCGTTCAAGTATCTTCTCCATGCTGTTGCAGAAAAGGAAAAGTCAGTATCAAGGACAATCTTTTCTTTAGTGGTAATTCCCTAGTAAAACTTGTTGCAGCCTTATTACAACTCTTGTTTAAAAAACCAAAAAAAAAACACATTTAATATGGACATGTTTTTCATCTATATTAATAAACCAATATGAAACCAAGCAGACAACTTCTCATTTCATTTTTTGTTTTTGTGGTTGATACAAGAGAAGATCACCAATATTCAATCTTAAAGCCTCAGTGAACTTACCCATTTGAGTTGAAGGAAAAGTTTCACTCAAACATGATGCTGTGCTCAAATTTGATCAGGCTTGGTAATGGTACTTCTTTGACAAAATGGGCTATAATTGGTTATGAAATCAATCCATTCATTTACTGAAGAAGTTTCATCTTCTTTCTGTTTATCATGCTTTCATTTAAGAATTAAGAATTTCTTTTTCTTAAGGGGGATTTAACAAGAAATTAACTTCACCAGAGAATAAAGTTTTTTAGTGACGAATTTATCAACCACACACCTAACCTTAATAAAACTTGCCTGTCCTGCTTCAATTCAACGACCAGGAAATATTTTAGTTATTTAAAAAATGCTAAGACAGACCTATATATATTATGTATTTATTAGCCTCACGTTAGAGAAAAAAAAAATAATGAAAGAGACAGAATCCGCAGTAGGAACAGTGTGCATTCAATAATTAGCTTCTGATTTGCGAAAAGAAAAAACAAAAAATAAGCTCAAGCAATTGTGAAAATTAGTAAATAAATAGCATATGATAACTAATTTTCCATTCCCTAATTGTAAGTAATTGCACATGATTAGCTCAGGATTTCTAATGGCTTCATGTGCCATAGTTTTTCACATAATCATTGCTTTTTAATACAGTCAAGATATCATTTTTTTCGAATGAACTTAAAAACGCACTCTCTCACATCAATTTAATACATTCAGAAATTTACTTTCGGAATGTTTTTCACAGTAATTGAACTTATCTCACATATTTTTTAAAATATTTTCATCTAATCATGACAGAAAGCAAAACCAATCCAATTATTAAGAAAAAGAAATAAAATGTTGTGAGCTTCAGTTATAAGTATTGCGCATGCTTTTGTTTGTATGAGTTCTTTTATATCTAGATAAAAAAAAAATCCCATTATTTTTCCTAACGATTAATACCGTAAACATTTTATGCTTTTGCATTACATGAAACCAAAGGAAAAAGGAAAAAGCCTCTTGAAATTGATCCAAAGAAACCCAAATATGTCACATGTGAAATTTATTTCTAGCATTATTACATACAACTAGTAACCCCCCTCTCTCTCAAGCAAAAGTCAAACATGCCTCTATATTCATGGCAGCTCGAAATTAAACCTAATATTTGACATCAAGCAAAGAGCATCGAAGCAAACCTCTTTTTTCCTTCTTTCATTCGCTCTTTGGGGGAGGGGGGTGAGAGGAAAGGAACCTAGATAATTGATTCGTGGAATACAATGTTCTCTAAAATATAAGACTCAATGTTGCCCTAATTTTCTTATATATTTAGACTTTAGACCACAGTGCATTTCATAATTCATTTCATAATTTTTTTTTTATATTATGGATTTACATTTGATGTCATGTCAGTGAAATAATGACATCTCATAAAAATTAATTTTAAATATATTTTTAAGATTAAGTATATTTGCTTTTTAGAATTTTAAAATATTAAGATTAATTTTTTTATGAAGTGTTATTGTGTAATTCATAATCATTGTATAACATTTATATATAAACAGTATATCAAATATAAAGAGATTAAAACTCGTAATAACTATGTAATTTTTCTAGTGCTTAAAACTTAATTAGTTTTATCTGAGTAACATCAAAACTTAATTCCTCTCAGCTACTTCATAGCATCTCTTACAAAGACATCTCTTCTAAATTTGTGAATTGGGGGATTCAAAATTATTTTTCGGAGATGTCCACTTATAATATATCTAAAAAATAATTGATAGATTTATCAATTTTATGGTGTCCAAAAAAAATTTTCCTTCAAAATTTCTTTCTAATCATCTTTGAGGATGTCTAAAGAAAAATTTTGAGAGTGTTCAGTGGAAACTTTTCCTTTAAATCTTGTTAGGACACCCTCCCACTAAAAGTGGATCTTGTTCTGAACTTGTTGATGATAAAAGTTTCAAATTTAATCATTGCGATAATTAGGAAATTAATGAAATAAATTTAGCTGTGGTTATTTGACAAAGGAACTAAATATCTTAAGAACAGCTGAGAATTCTAATAAGTGATGAAAGATGTCACTTATGCAAATATTAAAAGATTAGGGTTTTCTATCTCTGAATAAATATTCCAAATGTAATAATTTATGCAAGTAATTAAGAAGAAACACAAAAAAAAGCTTCTTTTTTTATATATAAAAATGCCCTAGAAGAAGAGAGAACATCATAACTGGAAATGAAAATCTTTGTCCAAGCCAATCCCTGATGGTGTTGGAGGATAAGAATTGGATTATAAACCCACTAATATATAACTTGACCTTGTTCATTACTGACTAATTACCAGTTCAGTTCTTCCTTGGAGGCATTTATTGTATAAGAAAAAGGAAAGTTACAAAATATATAAAGTTGCTGTAATTTGTTCAATGGTTTTAGTATCTATATTTCTTTTTTATCAATTACATGTATCAACAAAAATTACAATTATAATCAAACAGTTTTTAACATACAGCAAGAAAAAAATCAACAAATAAATCAAACCAACAATTAAAAAATCAATATTTAACTGGACGAAACCCAAATTTAGTGAGACTTAACTTAAAATTTTAAAGTTTCAGGGTCTCCTCCTTACCTTTGAAACAAGGCTTGATTACCTTTTATCTATAATCTTTAAGCTTGAAAGGTTTGATAAAGACTTTTTATAAATGTTTAATATTCATGATCATCATGTTTGTGAAATTTTTTTTATGTACTATTAATTATTAATTCAATTGTAAAAGTTTTTAAAATATAAAGTTTGAAGTATAAATGAGTGAACTTTTTAAATATTTATGTAAGTAAATTTCTTTTGAATTTAGAGCAGGTAAAAGCTCATCTAATAACTTTAATTATTCTCAATCAAAATTAAAAAAAAAAAAAAGTAGGATGGAATACAGGGATTACTCCAGAACCGATTAATATTCAAATTTGAAAATACTTTAAAAAGACAACATATATAACAGACGAAAAGATGAAATTCGAATAAAAGAATTGGTGTAAAAGAAAATTTTTTTTCTCAAGAAACAAACAGAAAATGTACTCCCACCCACCAAAAACTGCAAAAACCTAAATCTAGTAGGGGAAAAAAAGAAAAAAGAAGAGATCATTCAAAAATATATAACTTTGGAAACCACTTTTACCTAGTATAGGCAGATAACAACCAACAGGTGTAGTCAGTACCTGAATTCTCTGGAATCTTCAAAATTTTCAAGTGTGAAAAATCCCACTCTTTGTCCCCTCAAAAAAGTGTAAAATCCCACTTTTTCAAACTACCAAAAAGATACATATACCCTCTCTTAGGGTTGTTAGTTTGGACTTGGGTGTTCTTGGATTAGAGCCAGAAAGAGGGTCTAGGTTTTAAGAGCTGGTGAGGGAGAAGACATAGGGAAATTGTAGCTTTGTAGGGAATATAAACCCTCCAAAAAAAATTTTAAGTACCCAAAGGAGATTAGAAGATGACAAGAGGATGCAATACTATAAAAGTATTTCAATTGATTTATAATGTTTGAACAATTAAAGCTATTTCAATTAGAAAGTAAGTTAAAGCATACTTTTAGGTATTTTTCTATCTTTAGAAGAAAATATGTTTCTTAGGTATGATTTTACTTTCAGATGGAAAACTAGATTTTATTGCAAAGTTTTGTATTTTCTCCTAATTGAGAAAGTTAGACCATCTAACTAGAACCAAATGCAAAAAATAAATAAATAAATGGAAATTTTCTTCTTCTTCCATTGGTCAATAACTTTGTGACTGAACTACCCAAAAGTTTCCATTCCTTTGCTACTTTGAGGGTGCCTGAAACTCTTCTGATATAAAGACCTTCTTTTGGCTAAGCTGTTATACGCCTTTTTTTCACCTGTTGGCTGTTAGCTTTGTATGAAATCCAGGGAACTGCGCATATCTATTTAAGTCCTTTAATTCTTAAACAAGAAAAAAAAAAAAAAGGAAATCAGTAAATTCCTAGGTTAATCTCAACTTATTACTATTTTTCAGTCTGAAAATCTTGGAAAGTACTAAAAGAAGTATATGAGAAGAAGATTGTCCTTCTTTTGTTACAGGGAAAACCTGTATCAGTACATGGATCTTCAAAAGATGTTGCACCAAATTGAAGGGTAAAAAAGTTGTTAAAAGCAAGCAGAAGAGAACCAGATTACTAGACCAAAAAAAAGGGGGAAAACCTGAATGAAAAAAGAAGAAATGCTTGGTTTGGATGAGGAGAAAAATAGAAGAGTTACCAGGAATCAGTGGAGTATTCAAAGAGCTTCCCTTTGTGAGAGAAGACAATCAAAGCGACCTCAGCATCACACAAAACAGAGATCTCATGAGCTTTCTTCGACAACCCAGCTCTCCTTTTGGAGAAAGTAACTTGCCTGTTGATCTTGTTCTCTATCCTCTTCAACTGAACCCTACCTCTCCCCATCTCTTTCACTCTCCTCCTCAACAACCCAACAGAACACCAAAACAAGCAAAACCCAAATTCTGAAGCCAAAACAGAAACAAGGAAGATCAAGTAAAAAACCCAAGTTGGAATCCTTCTTTTCTTTTCTATTTCCTCTTCCTCTCGTTTAGTGAATGTGAAGTGTGTGGAGGAAAGCAGCACACATATATAAAATTGGAAATACAACGAACAAAAAAAAAAAAAAAAAAAAACTAAAAACCTCAAAAAAAAAGTGGTTTTAGGGAAAATTGGTGGGTTTTGGGTAAAACCAGTGTGGTTTTCTAACAATGTGCTGTCGACTCCCCATTGGTTATCATAACTGTGCAGTCGTTATTGTATGGTGTTGGAACCAGTATTTTTATTTCTTTCTTTTCTTTTTAGAGGGCTTTTCTTGTTATAGGCTATAGATGCTAACACCGTCAGGACCTGTACGGGCCCCCCCACTGTTACACGCTTCCTGCTGACGGCGGAGCAATGCATGTAATAGAGCGGTTAAAACTTAAAGTGGTAGGAGCCAATTTTTTTTTTTTTTTATGCTTGGTTTTTGAATTTATTGGAAAATTATAAAAAAATGTTTTTCGTAAAATCGTTATATTTAATTTAAATAAATTTATTTGTATTAATCTGAAAAAAATTAAAATTTTAAACCTTGATGAATTTTCATAACTTTTAAATAAATCTGATAATTTAAAATATGATATGATAATACGATATAAATATAAGATATAAAAGTAACGTAGTTTAAATTTTTATTTTCTTAGAAGATTAAAATAAAGATATTATGTATATAAAAGAGTTCGTTACAGCCACGATACAAAATCACAAGATCTGTGCACCCTTATCTTAGTTAGAGAGTCCATAAAATAATTAGCTTATCTAAAGACATGTACAAAAATTATGGTTTTAGCCCTAACAAAGAGATTGTACAGCCTATTCAGCAAATCATTATACTTTCAAGGACATTCACAGACTTTGTTGAGCCAAGCTGTAACAACTTTGGAGTCGCTTTCGATAATGATATCAAGCAAGGGATCTAGATTGGCATTAGCCACAATAGTAAGGGCTTCAACTACCACCAACAGCTCTGCGAGGTTCAATTCCTTGACTCCAATATTCTTGAAAAACATTAGCAATACTTTCCCCTTCCAATTGTGGATAAAAACAATTTAAAGTTTTAGTAATAATTATATTTAAATTTAATAAAATTAAAAAAAATATATTTCATATTTATGTATGAATATGAATTATAACACGTAATTTTTGTATAAATCACAATACAAATCCACAAATCATCAGGTTTACTTTTGAGTTTAGATTATTACTATTTAATTTTTTTCAAAAAAAAAAGATTATTATTGTTTAATGATATTATTAGTGTATGTTTATAAAGATTAATTAGTGAATAGGATATCCTATTCCCTTAAAAAAGGTTAATAGTTTAAAACCAAACTTAAATTCTTCCTTTGAGTAAATCAATCACATATGTAAAAAAAAAAAAAATGATAATAACATCGATGTTATTAAAATTTTAATAAGGTAAGATATCATACCTTATTAAAATTTAAGTTTAGAAAAAATAAATACAATATAAATTTACAGTAATAGAAAACGATTCGCAAGCTTGGATAAACAAGGCTACCATCAGTCTTTGGAAATATAGTGATGTTCGTAACAAACTGTATAATCTCTACTCTAGAGTGAATAAAGTTTCTTTTGTCCACATTTATAGAGAGACCGATCCTTTTGCTTATTCTCTGGGTGTCCATAGAAAGAATGACTTTATAGCTTGGTTGTAGCTTTTTCTATCAATAATATTAATCTCTTTTACTGTTCAAAAAAATAAATTTACAGAACAGTACTTTGTAAAAGATAAATAAATAATAACTTGCCTCCTTTTTTCTTCAATGTTATTTTATTTTACCCCGTATTTATAACCAAAATATGTCTTGTAGTACAAGAGAAAGGTAAAAAAAATATTGTTTTTCTTTCCTTGTAGTTACTTTTATCAAATACATATATAAAATATGTAATTCCTTTTTTTTTTTCTCTTCCTAGTCAATAGGATATCCTATATATAAGATTAATGGATTTTAGAATTATGGTATGTACTATATATATAAAACTGAATTTATTATGATTTATTGGTATTAATGTCCAGTAACTTTAATGTTATAATTGCGTATGCAAAAACTATGCTCCAAGTGTTAGACTTCAGTCAAATTATTGGATCAATTAAGCACAATTTTATGCATACTTCGATGTATATAATCATATAATCTATATTCGAATAGTTGTCCATCTTGTTAAGAAAAAAAAAAAGAAAAGAAAAACCAATTATCGCATTTATATGTGTAAGTGAGTCAAGTTTATCAGTTAGAACGAGTGATCCGATCCATAAATAGTTCTAGTGATGCCTTTGATGTGTCTTTAAACATTTGGCAATGAAAATCACAATAGTTTTATGGATAGAATTGGGACCAAATTTGAGTGGCTGCTTCTTGTTGATCTGCCAATATTGCAAATGAGAGTGATCGATATCGGCCTCTTTATTGGATGTATATCAATATGCATGCAACTATGCATAGACTGAGCAATTAAGTGGTCCAACATTATTCTGTAACATCAATCAAACTTCCATTATTATACGGAGGCATCATTTTCACTGACAAGCTTGTAAGCGCAAAATATCAAACATCAAACCTTGCATAAATTCACCTCTGACAAAAAATAAATGAATCAATCGGGTTAAACTTAATATTAAAATTGATAATTAATCAGTTTCCTAATAATTACAAACTCCCCCTATTAAAAAATGCATATTTGTCTATTTAATCTTTTATAATCTAGATTTTAATTAGCCAAATATGAATTTGTTGGTAATTTAAAATATGGTGCATCCCACATTAGATAGAAATATTTAATTATTCATGAATAAAATTAATTTTTGTATTAATTTTATTTATATTTTAAATAATTATATTTGAACATAAACAATTATTATATGACAAATTATCATAATTATTTGAATAAATAGATTATTATTCATAAAGATCATGATTATATAAAATGTCATAAGTATTTGAATAAAAGTTTATATCTGTTCATTTATTATAAATAAAATTTTCAGTATAACCATTTTTACTATTTTTTAATTAGATAGTTTGAGATTTTATTGTATCCTGAGGTATAATTGCATTTAAGAAAATATTTTTCATGCTTCAAAGCTAAAATTTTTTTCTATTATTTCACTTTTCTTATTTATTTTTTCTAACAATTTAAAGGCAATTATGCCTTTATATTTTGTATAAGAAAGATACAAGAAAAAAAAAATTGACAAATCTTTAGAAACAAGTATGGAAAGCTTCAATTATCCAAATAATTTTTTGATGAAATAAAATACAAGATAAGTTTTTTGTTATTATCTTTCTAGTTTTTATATTCTACTAAAAGAATTGATGATTAATAATTCATAAGAAACTTTGGGTCTCATTGAATTTTTCTTTCTTTATTGACTATTCTTTTAATCTTTTAATTCTGAATTAAATTATTTAATTTATGATTGATGATTTTATGGTATGTTATATGTGAGTTTTCTTGATCATGGCATTGAATGGTCATGAACATAAAATGGATAAGGAGAACCTGCTAGCTTTGGTTCTGAATATTTTAGAGCCTTGTTATATTTTGGTAAGATCATGGTTATCAAGTCAAAATGATAAAATTCTCGATAATTATTTTAAGGCATAAAAGAAATTGTGAATTTGTAAATCTTTTCGAAAAAGAAGTATATTTTCTTGTCATAAAATCATATTTTATGGTCAATATTCAATGATTGCATTTTATTGACAAAAGAATAATGCATGATTCATATTATTTGATTTATATAATATTATTTTGACAGGAAATAAATATATTGTCTAAGATAACTTCAATTTAATTAGAGAAGTCATATAATTCTTTATAACTAGTTAAAATGCTTTCTATTTATTGGGTGAAAAAATTTTATGTATTTTATAATTTGGACACAAAATTTATAGTATTGTGTGGTTATACATGAAATTTTGACTATTTTTAATGACATGAACCATGGTGGATATGACTTTAGCATCCATGATAAAATAATTTTATAAGTATCCATGAGTTGGTATAAAAGTCTCAAAAGGAGACAATAGAAAGTATGAGTTTACTAAAAGAAAATAATTTTGAGGATGATTATGTTTGACATCATGCTTATTGATGTATACTCTCATATTAAGTTAAAAATATAGAAGTTTTGAAACTTTTATGAAAAGAAAATATTAAGGTATAAAATATTTACTAGTTATCTTTCACCAAATATGGATTTGGAGGTCTCCTACTAAAAAAAAAACCCACCAAATAGTGAAAAGATGAAAAAAAATGGCAATTTGATATAATATCTTGATAATTAAATAGGACATTCTTTAATAAAAGAATACATATTTGCACGTGGTGGAGGTAATAAAAATCAAAAGAAATAAAAATTTATCACCATAGTGTTGTAAGACTTTAGTATAATTTTATGAGCAAATTATACAGCTAATAAGTTTAGTAAACTTATTAAAGTAAAACCATAAAAAAAAGTCCTTACATATCTTAAAAAGACTAAAATAGTTTGATTTATTCATTGATTTTATCCAATTATACTAAAAGTATAATTATATTAAAGATGTATTAAAGTATGAAAATAGAATGGTTGAAATTTATGAGTATAGAACTATGGCCACAATCAATACCATCTATTTCTTAAATGACAAGAACGAGATAACAATATCTAGAGCATGTAAATGATATGCAAAACAAAAAATTTGGACATCTTAGCCTAAAGTGATTATATTAGAAATTCAGTCTCAAATTGGGGTAAATACCATAAAAAAAAATTAAATTTCAAGATATTTTGTTAGTAATACTATTAGTAGAATGGATTTAAATCTTTACTATTAAACACCAATAATAGGAACCCAACTTTGAACTAGTAACTTCTAATTTCAAAGTCTAATGAGTAAAAATAAGTTATTGTTATATATTTGTTAAGTACTAGTAAAATTCATTCAAATTTTAACAACTAGTATGATCCATTGCATGAGAATGATGAGTTTTTATACTCTTAATAGAGTT